CGGACGCTTAACCGACTGCGCCACCCAGGCGCCCCTGCAGTATTTTTTTTTAACCTTTGTCCTTAGGAACTTGTTCATCAGATGGGCATGTGGTTAAGAAAGGCTAGGGAGGGAGGCAGTCTCCCAGAAGTGTCATGGCCCATGTGTACAGACCTTATTTAAGAAACTTTGGTCTCCATTAGAATTGAAGATATTGAAATCATTGTACATTGGCATTAAATTATCCTTTGTTGTTTAGACGGAACATATATAATATATATATAATACATAACAAAATACTTTATTCATTAAAATGCATATTATATTAATAGTTCTAGAAACTGTCTCTGACATGAGACATGTAAAAAGATAAAATCACTCAGATTTTCATAATGCTGCTGAGATGGAGAATGAACTAAATAGGAAAATGCTATTTAGAAATTAAGATGTTGGGGCACCTGGGTGGCTTAGTCAGTTAAGTGTCTGACTCTTGGTTTCGATTCAGGTCATGATGCCACAGTCGTGAGTTCGAGCCCTGCATCAGGCTCTGTGCCCCTCTCTCTCTCTCTCTCTCTCTCTGTCTGTCTCAAAATAACTAAATAAACAAACAAACATTTTTAAAAATTAAAAAACAGAATTTAAGATGTCAAACGTGGCTTAAATCGGGTATTTAAAAAAATCCTGACGAAAGCTTACATCTTTTTTCCTTTTTTGATGAGATAAGTAACACCTGCTTCGTGTCTACCCCCTTCTCGCCCTTATTACTGCTCTGTGGATATGGTGCGACAATGTGTCTGATGCATGCCGATTTTATAAGCGAACGGTACAGAACATGTAAATGTCATTTCTTCTTTGTGACAAGCCATCAAAAGCTTTTTTAAATGTATGAACCCCTGAGGAATGACAGGGCGTATGACACGGGAAAGGTATCCACCCAGAGCCCACCGCTTTTTGAGAAGGTTCAATAAAAAACAAGCCGTGAGAGGAAGGTGAGGTGTAGTGCAGAGGCGAGTGTTGGGGTGTTGATCGTGTCGCTGGATTTCGTTTGCTCCAGTTGCCAAGCCTGATGCCATCCTCCAAGGCCATGTCCTCCTGGTGAAAGCTCCGAGTCAGCAAGGGTTCCAGGCTTGCAAATGGCACAGCCCTCCTGCAGGGTTATCTGCACCCCACCCACCTTTCACCAAATCTTCCTAAGCCAACAGGATCTAATTGTGTAAGCCTTCAGGGAAGTCGATTCAGTAATCACCCATGCAAGTCATCCCATAATGTTAGTAAAAAACAAAAACAAAAAATGTTTCCCACATACCATAAATCCATGTATATGACTGCCGTTCAATCATATTCCTCTCGTTCTGTTTTCAGGAGATGTCAAGAGCACTCCCCAGTGTAGTTAACCTATTTGACACAAAAATCGAGGTTCTGGACGACTCACACGGCTTTAAAAGGCTCACACACCCAGAAGCACTGACTGTTAACAAAGGCCCAGCCACATTTTTACGTGCTTTTAATTAATAGCTAGATGTGGGTGCTTTTTTGTGCCTAACATCTTATAAACAAGAGACAGACGTATCTGCTTTAAATAAACATCTGTCTTAAAAGCTACCTGTCTTTACCTGATGCAGAAAGTTTAATTTTTTTTTTTTAATTTTTTTGTTTTTTCAACGTTTATTTATTTTTGGGACAGAGAGAGACAGAGCATGAACAGGGGAGGGGCAGAGAGAGAGGGAGACACAGAATCGGAAACAGGCTCCAGGCTCTGAGCCATCAGCCCAGAGCCCGACACGGGGCTCGAACTCCCGGACCGCGAGATCGTGACCTGGCTGAAGTCGGACGCTTAACCGACTGCGCCACCCAGGCGCCCCTAATTTTTTAATAACACAGCTAACGATACAGCTCAGTAACTCACCAGACATAATGTCTCAATTGTTAAATAGGAAAAAGACGTAAAACGTCATTTCCAGAGGTTGTCAGCGGCCACCATTCTAAAAGGGTTTGGGAGGGAGAAAGCAAGCTTACTATTAATGGGACTCAGAAATTCTGGGTCTGAGATGAGAGGGACACAGTTTTGAAAACTGTTAAGTGAGATTTCTGTCCTTTATGTAGAAGGCTTAAAACGTTTAAATACAAGCCTTTAAAAATAGAAAAGATTTCTTTTCATATTTGAAAGAAAAAGTTTTCTCTAATTGACTTGTTTTTTTAAAAAAGCTAAGCTTCCTAGTCTCATTTCCAGAAACAAAACACACCTGGTACTCAGAAAGCTATTGGATTGCAAACATTAAATATTTTGTTTTTTGTTTTCTACATCAGGCATTTGCATAAAAGAAGGGAGTGCTGTATTTGAATGTAAGACTCCTTGAATCTCCTCTGTCTTTAGGGTTACTGAAAATTTAACACACTTTCAGTGTGAAGATTTTAACACTTCGAACTGTGCAATAATTCTTTAATTAGCAACAGTTTTTTATTTTTTTATTTGAGAGAGAGAGTGCACACAAGTGGGAGGGGGTTTGGGGTGGGCAGTGCAGAGAGAGAGGAGAGAATCTTAAACAGGCTCTGTGCTCAGAATGGAGCCCAACTCGGAGCTGGATCCCACGACCCTGGGATCATGACCTGAACTGAAATCAAGAGCCGGACGCTTAACTGACTGAGCCACCCAGGCGCCCCTAATATGTAACAGTTTTTCAATTAATTCTTTTAATCAATGAGAAATACGCTACATCTGATATCCAGCTCTCTTCATGACCCACTCTGCACATATAAACGATCCAACTCAAGATTCTGAACTAAACATTGCAGAAGATTCCAGAATGGGGAGGCAGATGAGTAGGAAAGTAGGGCTCTTGGGAAAAGATGTGAAATAGGTGTCCTCCGACAAAACGTAATTACGAGGGCAAAACAGCAAACAGACAGTTACCTGGATAATGAAGCCGTCAAAAATAGATGCAGTGAGGATGAGAAGGTAGGCATGAATTAGCTAAAATAAGTAATGTTTTTATAGCTTAAAACTACATACCCACATCTACCTACTTAGGAAATAAGCAGGCATATAGGTTTCTTCTTAGAAATAACCAAAATGGAAAAGCATAGATGGTGTCCTGAAAATACTTTTACTTTTTAAATTTTTTTTTTCAACGTTTATTTATTTTTTTGGGACAGAGAGAGACAGAGCATGAACGGGGGAGGGGCAGAGAGAGAGGGAGACACAGAATCGGAAACAGGCTCCAGGCTCTGAGCCATCAGCCCAGAGCCTGACGCGGGGCTCGAACTCACAGACTGCGAGATCGTGACCTGGCTGAAGTCGGACGCTTAACCGACTGCGCCACCTAGGCGCCCCGTCAACTTTGACTTTTTAAAAACAAAAGCTGGAAAGAAGGCGGCAAGCAACCCGTGCATGTCTTTACATTTAAAACATGTTTATGTCTGCGCTCCATTGAAGAATAAAATCTTTTTCTTTACACAAAATAGATTCCTTATCAAGATATGCCAGTTAAATAAATGCCCGACAACCAGCTTCCAAGACCTATAAATAAAAATTTTTCTGATGATGGCACTTCGGTGCTAAAGCTACTTATTCTCTTTATTGTAAGCTTTAGCACATCCAAAGGGGCCAGTAAGAAAGAGAAGTTAAGGTTCTGACTATCTCACTAGCTTCAGAACTAACAAGATCAGTGCAGAGCGAATCTATCATTAAGCCAAGCCTAACAACTCCTCCACAGCAAACTAATGATTACACAGCAATGGTCCATCCTTGCCTTTCAATTTCATGTCAGTTTGCCTGTGCCTTGTATCAAACACGAGGTTTCTATTTGTTCGTTTTTTGAAATCACTTTTAAAGTTATAAGTGAATTCTAAGGGTTTGCAACGAACATCCTGATGTAACTGGGCTTGACAGATTATTCCATACTGAAAGTACGTTTCTCAGCCAAATACGGATCAAGTGAGAGTGTTGATCTTAAGAGTAATGGCTACACATCGGGGGCGGAGGGGGGGAACCCAACCCTGAAACGCGTCTCTTCCAGGGAGCTGTCATTTAAGAAAGGAGATACTGTCTACATCCTCAGGAAAATTGATCAAAATTGGTATGAGGGAGAGCACCACGGGAGAGTGGGCATTTTTCCCATCTCCTACGTGGAGGTAAGTCCTACCCCTTCCCTCTCCCATGGCTGCTGTTTCCAAAGTCGCCACAGATCAAGAATAGATAACTTTTTTTCCCTCATAGAAACTCATGCCTCCTGAGAAGGCACAGCCTGCAAGACCGCCTCCCCCAGCCCAGCCTGGAGAAATCGGAGAAGCTGTAGCCAAATATAATTTCAATGCTGACACAAACGTGGAGCTGTCGCTGAGAAAGGTACCCTGGCCGTTGTCGTCAACAGTGCTTTTGAAAGGCTGTGTATTTCCAAAACTAAAATACGTTATCGATTTCCTTGGACGTTTTTGTGTTTCCCCCATGTGCTACAAAAGACTCTCTGAGGTCACCCTGAGGCGCTGTTACCTACCGCTCCGTGTCCTTCCAGAAGAGGTCCCCTGGGGGATGCACAGCTTCTCAGAGAGACTTTCCCTCCAGGCTTAGCATGGCAGGTTCCACGTCTCCTCCAAGGGGCGCCTCAGGCTGAACAGCCAGGAGCTCTACACGTGGAAACATCAAAAGGAAAAGCACTTTCATACACTTCAAAATATTGTTTGTCCTGCTGCCTTATTATTCAAATTAAAAAAAAAAATGGGTGTTTCAACATTTACTTTTATCTTGGAATCCAGGAACGGTCCTAACGTAATGAAGGTACTTCTCCCTACAGAGCCTTTTTGAGGAGACATTTTTGTGCAGGGCTGTTCCCCTGATCAGCCTTCTCTAGGCCTCATGACTGACCCAAATTTCACTAGCAACCGATCCAATTCTAGTATCTTAATAATATCAGGAAGAACTCTTTTTCTCATTTTTTAATGTTTAGTTATTTATTTTGAGAGAGAGAGAGAAAGAGAGGGCATGGGGGGAAGGGGTAGAGAGTGAGGGCGAGAGAATCCCAAGCAGGCTCCGTGTTGACAGAGCCCTATGTGGGGCTCGAACTCAGGAACCGTGAGATCATGACCTGAGCCGAAACCAATCACTGGATGTTTAACTGACTGAGCCACCCAGGTGCCCCCAGAAAGAACTCTTTTTAATTTGTTCCTGCGCAGAAAGATCAAACGAACTATCTTCATGGTTTGCTAAACCATCACATTCGTTTGTTTGAGGTGACCACGTGTCTGCACAGAGCACAGGCTAGAGAGTCACAGGCAGGGTGGTTCTAGAACTTCTTCGCCTACTGGCGAATCCCTTAGCCAGGGGCAAGGAAGGGAAACGACACGGTTCTTGTACTGGCAGAACCTCATCCCATTCTCCCTTCTCGGCCCTGGTTCTGCATCATCAACCCATTCTCCTCGTCTACCCTCCCAGCGGCAGCACAACATTCCATGAACCATCCCGGCTGATGTTTCATACTATAAAGAGCAGCTTCTGCCAGTGCAATTTATAGCTCCAGCAACAGCCTGGCAACAGCAGTGTGCTGCCCAGAAGATCAGTGCAATTTCAACATTAGGGAGATTTACTTCTCCTCAGTTATGTTCTATGCAGAGGCCAATCAGAATGGATAGTGAGTGGTGTTACACGATCTTGATCCAGACCAGGTGGGTGTCGGCCCTGGGCACAGCTGTGGATTATCCAGGGTACGTCCTTTGCCCCATCCTGCCAGCCTTACTCTTTGCTCCTGCTTACCACACGTAGATCAAGAAAGCAAAACGGTATGCCATTCAACTTCCTCCCTTCCGGAGCTTGACTTCCGTAATCCATTTCAGATACACAATCACAGCGAGCTGAGTTGCACTGTTTTGAAGCTCTTCCTGCAGAAGGTCATTTCCCCGAGTCCTGTCAATGATAGGATAACGCTACTGTCATTGAGGTTTTCCCTGTTAAACTATTCTGCTTTTTAAAGTAACTGATACAAGTCATTTCACATGGTACTGGTGTGAACATGTGTAAGCCCATTCACACAAACCAAGCATCCTTAGGGGAGATTCTAATGTCATCGATGAATGATTACGTATCGTACATGTTGATAATCTGTAATTTGGGAATGAGCTCAGAGCCTTCATTTTCATTCCCCTGACAAAAACAAACAACAAACAACAATCATAACAGCTGGAGGTATCAAACTTTCCCAGATGGAAAGCTATTGCTTATTAGAAACCCTTGACAATTGACAGTTTTTATGTTACCACATCTGTATTTATAATGCATTTTCCTAATATTCATTGCAGGGAGATAGAGTTATTCTTCTTAAAAGAGTTGATCAAAACTGGTATGAAGGTAAAATTCCAGGAACCAGCAGACAAGGCATCTTCCCTGTTTCCTATGTAGAAGTTGTCAAGAAGAATACAACCAAAGGTGCTGAGGACTACCCTGACCCTCCAATACCCCACAGCTATTCTAGCGATAGAATCCACAGCTTAAGTTCAAATAAGGTAAGAAGACATCCTAGCATATTAGTGTCATGTTTGGGAGCTTGATGCAAGATCATCGACATGGGATGTTAGGCATAGACTAAAACATCATACCTATTGCAAAGCGACAAAATGTACATGTTATGTTTCTGAGTGTGCGTGCCATGTCAAGTCAATATAATTGAATCTTTCTGAGGGGTGCTAGCACAAAGGTTTCATGCTTGATTTTGATAATTTTATTTTCAAAGTAAAATACTGAAAGAGAAAACATTAGCATCATAAAATCCTATATGATATAGGTCTGTATGTATGTATGCAATTATAGCTGCTTTTTGAAACTCAATTTTTTTCTGAAGCTTGATTTTATTTTTAGATATGCATGTTTTACATGGATTCTATGCAGGTGTAAGTAGTATATATAAGTATAGAATGTATTGATAGGTAGTTAGATAGATCCCAAAATGGTTTATTTCAACAACATATGGTAATTGAGTTGACAAAATTCTATGAAAGTCTTGGGGTATTTTGATACAGAAAGAGAGAAAGTAAAAATCTTTAATTAAGGTCTGTCAGTCAGTTTGTTTATTAGTTTGAATGAAAATGTCATTCTTTCTTAGGAGTCCTCAAGTTTATTTTATTAGGTTTAGGATGATTTCCATTGTCTCACTAGAGCCAGTAGCTAAAGATAATTACCTTTCTCAACATGTAGTTTAAAAGGGACTTTGCTTCCTGAACTGGTTGATTAGAAAAGGCTATTCCAAAAAAAAAAAAAAAAAAAAAAGGAAAAGAAAAGGCTATTCTCTCTTTACTCACAGGGTGAAGTTGTTCTTAATTTTCTATTGAATTATATATAATATGTTGTGTTCTTCTCATGGATGGTATTTAGGGATTTCTGTCTCCTTTTCATTGGCTTTCAAGTGTAAAACTTTAAATTACCAAGGAATTATTTCCAAAATATTGTAAGTACTTCCCAACATTTTAAACATTTTGTTTCCCATAACTTACTGAAAATTGTAACTGAGACCAAGGCTGGGACATGGAAAACTAAACCATTTGGCACTAGCAAAATAACATCAACATCCCAGACATGAAATCATTTCATGTCCCAAAGCAAGAGAGCATCCCCAGTGACCTAAACTACTCCTTGAAAATGAGTCTACAAGGATTTTACATATGTAAATGAGCTAAGAATCTACTATCCGAAGAGAAGCATTTTCTTTTAAAAGGGCATTTTATTTATTCTACTCTTTGAAGACTGGGTTTCCGTTGCAGGGTAATTGCTGTAAATCCCTTATCACTGAATAATAGAACAGTTTGGCAACACTGGGTAACAGAACGGTAATCAGATTGTGTCTGGTTGATAATAAAGTTTTCCAGAATCTTCTTTAGTAGGTTGACTTCACTACCAGAGCTTAGCGTTAGAGAGCAACATCCTTCCTTCAATAGTTCCTACTGATAAAAAGAAAATATCAGAACCTTCAACCATATGTTTGTCTTATTTACCATTCAGTCATCTTAAAAAACTACCAGATGAATTTCAAAGCAACTGTACCTTCAAACAAAATATTATAAGAAAGAATAGGCATTTATCTAGAAAGCCTTATTTAATATTTAAGAAATGCTTCCATAATGTCTTAATTAATACTGGTAATGTAATACTGTAGATCACAGTGTTTTAATCCTTGTTGTGGATATGATTTAAATGTATTTTCATTTTCCTAAACTTTTTCTTAGAATACCAGATTTTACGTTTTATAAATAGAGAAATTTCACTAAAAACTAATTAGTGTTTTATTCTCACTGCTGGGAAGAAAATATGTTGTAAAGCTTATGTCCATAATTTGAAAAAACAAAAAATGCTTGATGATTTCGACCCATCTGGTAATCTATGATATCATTGACTTAATAAGGGAAACTTCTCACTAGTGTTGAACTGGATCATTTTCAGAAAAAGAACTATAATATACTTCTAAACTATGACATCCAAAATACACGAAATGTTATGTATCCTATTTTCTAACTGGTATTTGCAAATAGAGGAAAGAACTCATTGACTCATGCATCACTCTGACACATTCAAATCACATTTCCTGACATACTATCTTTATTTTAGGGGAGATCCAAATGGAAGTTGATACCATTTCTGATATTTCTGCTTTTAGTGTAGTTGAATCCAATTCGAATGCTTTAGGGAGGAAAGGTAATTATGTGATTTTTGTATTATAGGTATATTTATGTTATGTAGGTATCTCAGATACGTAATTTGGCTTTTTGTAGAAGCAAGTCCATTGTAAAGCTAAGCACCTGGAACCTGTTAACATGTATACTGGCAACCGTCGTGGTAACAGCACCGGAGTAGTGGCAGTAATAGTGACAGTGGTAGTCATGACAACGGTGGGATTGAAAGATCTTTCTTCCTTGTCTACATAGTATTCCTGACCATGAGAGAAAATAAAAGTGAAAAGTAATCATCTAGAATTCTTATGCGTTTCACAGAGTTTCAAAATCTGTTATTCTGTTGCATAACAAAGAGCATAAAATAGAATGCTGGCCAATAAGAGAATTTCTCTAGACTATGAAATGAGACTTAGGTAATTTCTGTCTTACTAAAAACTGAACATAGACAGGACCTGCCAGGGGTGGCTATCTATCTAGTAACAGACCACATGTATAGTATCACTTTACAGCAGGTGCTAGGCGGACTAAAGACCACCTGAATCTTCTGTTAGGATGCTCACGTGAGTTTTGTGACTCTTTGGCTTATATACCCCCACCCCAAGGTGACAGGACATCGAATTTCCTTTAAAAAAAATAGCTAAATAAATTCTATTAATGCCCCATTCCTGTTAAAGGACACAGAAGTCAAAACTTAAGTGGCCTTAGGACCAAGAGTGCCGAGTGCATGAGTGAGGTCTCATCCTAAACAACCAACAAGAAAATGCATCTCCAAAATCTTCCAGACCCAAACCATCTCCCTGGAGAGAATGACAGTAAAATGCCATCCACCAGACTGTCAAGGCCTTCCTACGTATAGCATGTAGCATTCTTTCCAGTTCAGCAATAGAGTGTCTTAGAATGTTTCTAGGCAGCCCTTCCAGAACTACTTTTAAGGAATTTCCATTACCATTCTGTGTTGTTCAATACATCCAAAATATACTGATAATAGTAAGATCCACTGAAGTATATTTTTACTTCAGGAGATTAAGTTTCATAAATTATACTCCACAGGTTTACATAAAAGAATAGGAGTCCTAACAGAAGTTTACTCCCATTAAAATCATATGTTCCCTTTCTATGTAAACATTTACTTTGGGTTTTTTAAACCTTGAAGTAGTAGTTATCTTTAGTTTCATTCTGATCGGGGGTTTCTGTTCTTGGAAAATATTTTTCAGAATTGATTCACTGGGAAATGTATCCATGTATAATGATGTAAAAATATTTTATGCCATACGCTATAATTACGTTGCAAAACGTAAGTGAAAAAATCATGGAAGTTCAAAAGATTTGGCACTCTTACAGGCAGAAAGAACAGTAAACAAATTCAGGGAATAAGAAAAGGTTTCGTTATTGGTTTTCATTTTACAGGAACATTATTTCAGAGTCATATGTGAAGCCTAGTTTAAAAGAGCTAATCCGCGGGGCGCCTGGGTGGCGCAGTCGGTTAAGCATCCGACTTCAGCTCAGGTCACTATCTCGCGGTCCGTGAGTTCGAGCCCCGCGTCGGGCTCTGGGCTGATGGCTCGGAGCCTGGAGCCTGTTTCCGATTCTGTGTCTCCCTCTCTCTCTGGCCCTCCCCCGTTCATGCTCTGTCTCTCTCTGTCCCAAAAATAAATAAACGTTGAAAAAAAAATTTTTTTAAAAGAGCTAATCCGCTAGATAAAATCACTTAGGGATTCACTGTCTGACCTTCTTATCGCTACTACAGCTTTACCTTATCATTTGACACCTGAGACCCCTTCCAAATACTAGGAGAGTTTCGTCGTTCAGATAACCTTCCAGTTAACATGCGAAGGATTTTCTTTAAATTCCGCAAAAATATCCACAAATCGAGACCACAGCGTAAAATATGTTTCTATTCATTACCAGCACTTCCCTGCATTTCTCTGTCTCTGTGTTTTGATGTACGATTTTCTTGGTTTACATTTTAACCTTATAATCCCCGCTCGTTTCTAAGTTGGCTTTCAGTGAACCAGCCCCTCCTCCCACGCACAAAGCTTCACCGGGCTCAGATAGAACAGCCCAGGGGCGGCTGCGTCTGACAGCCGAGTGCCCACCGGCAGACCCTTTGACCCCAACACCGCCTCACTCTCTGGACAATTTCTTGGATGAATTGGAGAAGCTTGGTGCTTTAACCTCACCAGCCGACCGAGCCAAACCAAATATCCTAGAGGAGACCATCCTCGAGATTAAGGAGGAGCCCTCAGATCTCCTCCCCTTGCCTCCAGCATCTGCACCTGCCAAATCCCCTTCTGTGCTGCCTTTCCCCCGCTCAGGGGTGACCTCAGCTGCAGTCCGGCCTTCTGAGGCAACACCACTTCAAGATCCCAGAAAGACAACTCAGAACAAATGTGCAGGTTTGACAAAAATACGAAAGGGCTTTGGAGGCCCTGAGAAAGTACCCGAAGTCCTAGGTGACAAGTTTGTGGCCTCTGCACACACTAATGTGGCTCCCTTGCCCAAAAGTCTCCCCGCCATCGGAGAGGAAGATGAGGATATCTATGAGGGGTTTCTGTCAGGCATCCGAAGAGGGCCAGAGTGTCGAGAACCGGATGCCTTGTGGTGTGCCCGCGATGGCACAGAGGTGACACCAAGCCTGCACATCGAAGAGGAGGAAGAAGAGAGGCAACCTGACGGTTTAAAATATCCAGTAGCCACCCCCACAGACCCTAGGATCCCTAAGGAAGACAGCAGTGCAGTGAAAACCAGTACTGAGGTATTTTAACCTTGCCTAATTACCAAAGAACTAACCCGTCTTAACTATATTTAGCTAGCACAGTTAATCACATTACTAAACGTCAATT